AGGAAGTGGTGTGCTGGGCTGCTTAAACAGTGCCACCCCTCCGGGGTCCATTTTAGCATGTGGATGCCCCCACTGGGCTTCTCTCATTGGCTTACTCACCAGCCCCACCGTCTGCAAATGTGTCCCAAGATATGTTTGGAACATGAGCCGCAAGGTTGCCTGGGGAATGAATTTTTTTTTTTTTTTTTTGAGATGGAGTCTGGGTCAGTCACCCAGGCTGGAGTACAGTGGCGCAATCTAGGCTCACAGCAAGCTCCGCCTCCCTGGTTCATGCCATTCTCCTGCCTCAGCCTTCCGAGTAGCTGGGACCACAGGCACCCGCTACCATGCCCGGCTAAGTTTTTTGTGTATTTTTAGTAGATACGGGGTTTCACCGTGTTAGCCAGGATGGTCTCGATCTCCTGACCTGGTGATCCACCTGCCTTGGCCTCCCAAAGTGCTGGGATTACAGGCGTGAACCACCACGCCTGGTTGGGGAATGCATTTTCAATGTTTGTTTTTTTTTTTTTTTTTGAGACAGGATCTGGTTCTGTTGCTCAGGCTAAAGGGCAGTGGTGTGATCTTGGCTCGCTGCAGCCTTGACGTCCTGGGCTCAAACCATCCTGAGTAGGTGGGACTACAGGTGTGCGCCACCACGCCCAGCTAATTTTTGCATTTTTTGTAGAGATGAGGTTTCACCATTTGGCCCAGGCTGGTTTTGAACTCCTGGCCTCAAGCTGTCCGCCCACCTCGGCCTCCCAAAATGCTGTATTCCTGGCATGAGCCTACGCGCCTGACTGTGTTTTATACTTTACAGTGCTGTGAAGGGAGATAGAATAAAAATGAATGTGAATCCCACGTGAGTGACCCGGGCCTGCTGTAACAAACCACCACAAACCAAGTAACTAAACACCACAGAAATTTCATCTCAAGTTCTGAGACTAGTAGTCCAAAATAAAGTGTTTGCAGGGTAGCCACTCCAGAGGCTATTCCTGGCGTCCTCCAGACACCGGAAGACGTGTGCTACCTCACTCATGCGTCTGTCTGCCTCTATTACATTTAAATCTGATACAGTATTATCAATGGAAGTGCTGTTCCACAGTGTAGATTGGGGAAAAATAATAATACAGTTTTGGCATTGTTTAAGTACATTCTGAGAAATGCATTGTTAGGCAATTTTGTCTTCGTGTGAACGTCATAGAGTGACTTAACACAAAGCTAGATGGTACAGCCTGCTGCACACCCAGGCTGTGTGATGGAGCCTGTTGCTCCTAGGCTACAAACCTGTATAGCATGTACCGTACTGAACACTGTAGGCAACTGAAACACGATTGTAAGCATTTGTGTATCTAAACATAGAGAAGATTACAGTAAAAATATGGTACTATATTCTTCCCGGGACCACAATTGTACATGCAACCTGTCATTCACTGAAACATTGCTATGTGGTGCGTGACTATACCAGACATTAAGGTTTTATCGGTATGTCAGAGACAGCTGTTTGTTGTATTTAGCGCCAGTTGTCTTGTTGGTTGGCTGCTTGAATAATGTGAGAGAAGCTGTCTCTTAGCTGTGTTGGCTCCATAAGGCCTGTAAACTGTGTCTTCCCTGGTGATTGGTAAACCGGTGCAGAAGAGCATCCTAGGTTGTGTAATAGAGATAGAATATAATGGAGTGTGTAGCACATCAGGAGCTTATTGTGTTTAGCTGTTTTGTTGAGTGTTATATTTCTGAGATTCATCTATGCTGTTGAGTATATCATAGGTTCCTTTTCATTGCTGTCTACTGAATTAACTGTACTGTAGTTTACTCTTTTTGCTAGTAATGAACATTTTTGTTTGTTTTCAGTGTTGGGGTGTTGCAAGTAATAATGCTACAAAAGTCCTTGTACGTGTCTTTGGTTGTATATAAACCCATGAGTTGAATGGTTAGTCTGTAGGGTACATATGTTCAGTTTAATAGTTGTCTTCTGTCCGTTTATTTTGAAAATAAGAAACAACCAATAGCAAGAATGCTAAAATGGATATTGTGTACATTTATATGGATTCATTAATTGTTAGCTTCTTGCTAACTGGTTTTATTTCCGTATCTTTTTCTGAATCACCTGAGGGCCGATTGTAGACATCATGATAGTTTACCTCCTAAGAACTGGGATAGTCTCCTACATAAGCACAATACAGTTATCACACTCAGAGTTTAACTTTTCAAATAGTATTATCTAACATATATTGTCCAACTTTAAATGCCTGAATTGTTCCAATATCCTGTATGCCTTTAAAAATTTACATATTGGATTCAATCCAAGATCATGGATTGCATTTGTTTTCATATGTCTTTAGATTTGGGTCATCTAGAAATTCCTAGCCTATTTTTCTTTCATTACATGAATATTTTTGAAGAGCTCAGGTCAGTCATGTTGCAGAAGTCTTTCAATTTGGACACGCCTCCCTACTTCTCAGGAGCAGATTCCAGATGGGTCATGTTGGTCTGAGCACCCCACAGGCGCTGCCACGTTGTCCTCTGCACCTGCCTGCTCCGCGGCGGGGATAAGTTTGGTTAGGGTGGCACTGGCCAGAGTTCTCTGTTGCAGAGGTAATCTTTTCCTGTTTAATTGACTGAAGTAGTCTGGAGTGATACTCTGAAACTGTAGGTATCTATTGCCTTGATACACAGCTACACATGTGTACATGCATACACACATACATACATACATAAATACATACATACATACACAAGCGGCCTGAGTTCCATCTCTGTGGGTTCAACCACAAATCAAAGATATTTGGGGGAAGAAAGGGATAGGTGCATCAGTAATGAACATGTACAGACTTTTTCTTATCTCATTATTCCTGAAACAATACACTGTAATTGCTAGCATAGCACCTACTTTGTATTAGGTATTGTAAGTAATCTAGAGATGATTGAAAGTTTATGGGAGGATATGCATAGGTTATTTGCAAGTACATTTTATATCAGGGACTTGAATATCCATGGATTTTGGTACCTGAGGGGATCCTGGAATCAATTCCTAGATACTGAGGGACAGTTGTATATGTAACTTAATGTATTTTTTTATCCAGGTGACATTCACGTAATACAATTAACTGTTTCAGAGGAATTGTTCAGCAACATTTTGTGGTTCACACTACTGTGCAGTTACTGCCCTACCTCTATCAAATTTGAAAACGTTTTAATTTGTTCCTTGTTCTACCTGTCCCCAGCCCCTGGCAACGTCCCATCTTAGTTGTGTTGGTGGATTTACCTATCCTGAGTATTTCATATAAACAGACTCATAGGATATATGATCCTTTGTTTCGGGCTTCCTTCACTTAGCATGATGTTTTCAAGGCTAGTCTGCACTGTAGTGTGTCAGTACTTTACTCCTTTCTGTGGTGGAGTAATTAATATTCTATTGTGTATATGCTACAGTTTGTTCATCCACTCATCTGTTGATGAATGTATGGGCCATTTCTACTATTTTGACAGTTGTGAATGACACAATTAATTTTTTTTTTTGAGACGGAGTCTCGCTCTGTGGCCCAGGCTGGAGTACAGTGGCCGGATCTCAGCTCACTGAGATGCGCCTCCCGGGTTTACTGCATTCTCCTGCCTCAGCCTCCCGAGTAGCTGGGACTACAGGCACCTGCCACCATGCCCGGCTAGTTTTTTTTTTTTTTTTTAGTAGAGACGGGGTTTCACCGTGTTAGCCAGGATGGTCTCGATCTGACCTCGTGATCCACCCGTCTCGGCCTCCCAAAGTACTGGGATTACAGGCTTGAGCCACCGCGCCTGGCCAACACAATATTTTTTACCCAATGGTTCTAGCATCCACTGATGATTCTTGCCTGAATCGGTTATTACTATGATAAATATAAAATGAAGATTTTGTATTTTTGTCTTTCTATGATATTTATTAGATGGAATTCTGTGAAGAAGACTTTGTGTTTGTATAGTATTGATTTCTTTTTTAAAAAATCTAGGGCCGGGCGCGGTGGCTCAAGCCTGTAATCCCAGTACTTTGGGAGGCCAACACGGGCGGATCACGAGGTCAGGAGATCGAGACCATCCTGGCTAACACGGTGAAACCCCGTCTCTACTAAAAAATACAAAAAAACTAGCTGAGCGAGGTGGCGGGCACCTGTAGTCCCAGCTACTCGGGAGGCTGAGGCAGGAGAATGGCGTGAACCCGGGAGGCGGAGCTTGCAGTGAGCTGAGATCCTGCCACTGCACTCCAGCCTGGGTGACAGAGCGAGACTCCGTCTCAAAAAAAAAAAAAAATCTGAGGGGTACATAGTAAGTGTATATGTTTTATCAATCTGGACTTAGGGATTCTTTTAAAACTCAGTATGAGTAAGTCCTCTTATTCATTTCTGTGCTCGAATCATGCAAATATTGCCAGTGGTGGCTGTCCCTGTTTACACATCCCGTTAGTATTGTGAGTCAGTGGCGCTCCTCGGTGGTTGGGGGTGTGAGGTTGTTTAGCACTGTGCTCATCATTGCCGTGATTAACATTTCAGGTTTCTGAGGTCTGTTTCTTGGTAGTGCCCTGCTCCTTTTTCTTTCTTCTGTGCTTTGCTTTGATTCATGTCTCCCTCCCTTTTTCTTATTGCTTCTAAATTTGCTGTAGTCCTGCAACCTGGATTCGCAAACCTGAAATGACGTCTGGGTTAAGGGTGACTAGGTGTGAGTTGCTGGCCTGCAGTGGGGATGGGAGCTGGGCTTGGGGTGCCCGTCAGGATCAGGAGGAGGAGGTGTGTGAACATCCCCGTAGCTTACAGGGTTTTGGCAGTTGTGGTTGTGGGCTGAGTTTTCTTATGGGGAGCTAGTTTTCAACTCAATGAAGTCCCGGTTGGGAGAATTGAAAGGATTAAACTGATCCTCTAGAGTGATAAGCCTTGGAGATGGAATTCCCTGTCCTTTCCTCCAGTAGCTGTCTTGGGGGAATGCTTTGCTTGACTGTTTCCTCAGAGCACCCCTGTCCTATCACACAGTGCTCACCCTTCCTCTTCTCTGAATTTCAGGCCAAGTCCTGCATCTGCCATGTCTGTGGCGTCCACCTCAACAGGCTGCATTCCTGCCTCTACTGCGTCTTCTTCGGCTGTTTCACAAAGAAGCATATTCACGAGCATGCGAAGTCAAAGCGGCACAACCTGGGTGAGGCGAGCTTCTGGGATGGGGGGATAGTTGTGGCCCCTAAATTGCTACTGTTCAATTTTTAATTTGCAGTTCCACCCTTCCAAAAGTCCACTTTGTCATTTATCTCAAATAACACGTGCCCCTCACTGGTGACACTTGGCAAGGGAAGTGAAAGGGACAAGCCGAGCTTAGCTGAATCGCGCCCCCAGTTTGCCTTAGCATCAGAGGGTTCTGAGTGAATGGCCTGCTGTGTCCAGCTGACTTCCTGTGAAAAGTTACACTGTCCCTGCTCATGAAACATCAGACCCTTTGAAACACATAGTTAGGAATCACCTTAGGCAAACATTTATAAGGAAAGCGCTCCATGCAATGTGAGGTCCCTGAGGCCAGCGAGGGGTTGGATGTGCATAGGTGATTTTATGGCCTTCAGCAATGGGTTTCATTGTTTCCAGTCACACAGTTCTTGAAAAGGCTCCCTTAGCACTGTGTGTGGCCTCAAGATTAATTTACCTTTCACAGCCTTACAAAATCAAACTCGTTCTATATTCAAGAAGTTACATAAAACTCAGTTTTGCTCTTTACTTTTTCTTCCTTTTTTTTTTTTTGAGATGGAGTCTTGCTGTCACCCAGGGTGGAGTGCAGTGGTTTGATCTTGGCTCACTGCAGCCTCTGCCTCCTGGGCTCAAGCAGTTCTCCTGCCTCAGCCTCCCAAGTAACAGATTACAGGTGCCTGCTACCACGCCTGGCTAATTTTTGTAATTTTAGTAGAGACGGGGTTTCTCTCTGTTGGCCAGGTTGGTCTCAGAACTCCTGACCTCACATGATCCTCTTGCCTCGGCCTCCCAAAGTGCAAGGATTACAGGCATGAGTCACCGCACCTGGCTGGCTTTGTTTTCTGACTTTGTGCATTAAATGTTTTTTTCTTCTACACAGTAGTGTTTTCCTTGGAATGCTGATGGAGTTGGCAGGTTATCCTTCAGAATAGCATTTTCAAGGGGTCCAAGCCAGAGACCTGTTTTAGCTAATAGTTCATGTGAGCTTAGCAATTCCAGGTAAAGATAGTTTTAGGCCTTTCCACCCCGAAGTTCTGTAATTTGATGCCCTCTTAAAAGCATTAGCCTAGAAAGACCTATTGGAAACATCGTGTGAGTCCATAAAGTTACTGCACCCACGTCCCGTACAGCTCTCTACAAGGAATACTCATAGTAAAGGAGAAGACCCACGGATTTAACTGAGACTGACACGGAAAGTGTGTCTGATTTTTTTTTTTTCTTTTTTTTTTGGAGACAGAGTCTCGCTTTGTCTGGAGTCCAGGCTGGAGTGCAGTGGTGCAGTCCTGGCTCCCTGCGGCCTTGACCTCCTGGGCTTAAGAGATCCTTCTACCTCAGCCTCTCATTAGGACCACAGGCACACACCGCCACACCTGGAATCCCAGCACTTTGGGAGGCCGAGTGACTTCCTGTGTTTAAAAATTTTTTGTTGGCTGGGTGCGGTGGCTCACACCTGTAATCCCAGCACTTTGGGAGGCCAAGGCAGGCAGATTATGAAGTCAGGAGATTGAGACCATCCCAGCCAACATGGTGAAACCCCGTCTCTACTAAAAATAACAAAAAAAATTAGGTGGGTGCAGTGGCGCGCGCCTGTAGTCCCAGCTACTTGGGAGGCTGAGGCAGGAGACTTGCTTGAACTCAGGAGGCGGAGGTTGCAGTGAGCTGAGATCGGGCCATTGTACTCCATCCTGGACGACAGAGCAAGAATGTGTCTCAAAAAAAAAAAAAAAAAAATGTAGAGGCAGGGTCTCACTGTGTTGCCTAGGCTAGTCTTGAACTCCTGGGCTTGAGCAGTCCTTCGGCTGTGGCCTCCCAAAGTGCTGGGATTACAGGCCTGAGCCACCATGCCTGGCCACGGTGTGTCTGATTTTGTTCCTAGTAATTTTTTTTCTGTTGTGTTTTAAAGAAGTGAGACGAGGGAGGAGCGGTGTGGCTTGCACCTGTAATCCTAGCACTTTGGGAGGCTGAGGTGGGCAAATTACCTGAACTCAGGAGCTCAAGACCAGTCTGGGCAATGTGGTAAAATCCTGTCTGTACAAAAAAATTTAAAAATTAGCAGGGCATGGTGGTGTGTGCCTGTGGTCCCAGCTACTCACTCAGGAGGCTGAGGTGGGAGGATCACTTGAGCCTAGGAGGTCAAGGCTGTGGTGAGCTGTGATCAAGCGCACTCGAACCTGGATGATAGAGCAAGACCCAATAAAAAAGAAGTGAGATGATTTTAAGGCAAAATATACCTCTGTCTTCTATGATGTGTTTATGATCCAGTTATTTTCTTATGGACATCTGGAAGCTGTCACCTCAGTATCACGCTGTGTAATGGCGCCGTCTCAGCTCACTGCAACCTCTGCCTCCCAGGTTCAAACGATTCCCCTGCCTTAGCCACCCGAGTAGCTGGGATTATAGATGCACACCAACATGCCCAGCTAATTTTTGTATTTTTGTAGAGACGGGGTTTCACCATGTTGACCAGGCTGGTCTTGAACTCCTGACCTCAGGTGATCCATCCGCCTTAGCCTCCCAAAGTGCTGGGATTACAGGCTTGAGCCACCACGCCTGGCCCAATGAACCATTTTTAAGTCTACAACTCGGTGACATTTAGCACATTTACAGTGTTGTGTGTCCTCCGCCTCTCTAGTTCAAAACTTTTTTACACCGTAGAAGAATGCGCTATTCACAGATCACCGCCTGTCGCTCTCTCCTGTCCCTTGGTGACTGGAATCTGCTTTCTGTCTCTGTGGGTTTGCCTATCCTGGATATTTCATATGTGTGGAATCATATAACATGTGGCCCTTTGTGTCTGGCTTCTTTCTGCTAGCATGCATTTGTGATTCATCTGAGTTGTGTTATGGATTAGTATTTCATTCCTTCTTATGGCTCAGTCACGCTCCATTGTGTATGTAGACCACATTTTTCATCCGTTCATCCGCTGATGGACATTTGGGTTGTTCCCACCTTCTTGGCTCTTAGGAATAGTGCCACTATGGACATCGTGTGTAATTCTAGGGGGACATGTTTTCATTTCTCTTGGATGTACACCTAGAAGTGAGTTGGCAGGGTCATCAAATCACTCTGCTTAACTTACGTGAAGCACCATCTTTTCTTTTGTGGCTGCACCATTTTAATTCCCACCGGTGATGGACAAGCTTTCCATTTTGTTCACATCCTTGCCAACGTTTATTTTTTAATACCCATCATAGTGAGTGTGAAATGGTATCTCATTGTGGCTTTGGTTTTCATTTTCTTAATGACCAATAATGTTTAATATTTTTTTCACGTGCCTTTTGGGCCATTTGTATGTTTGGGGAAATACCAGTTCACATCCACTGCATTTTTTTAATCGGACTGTTTGGTGGTTGTTGCTCTTTATATGTACACATGCACATTATACAGTGTGTGCGTGTGTTGCAGTGTGTGGGTATATTCTGGATGCTGGACTCTGCGCAGATGTATGATTTGCAAATGTTTTCTCCCTTTCTGTAGGTTCTTTTTAGTTTCTTGATAGTGTCCTTTGAAGCACAGGATCAGATGTTTTTAATTGTGATGAAGTCCAGTTTCTTTTTTCTTTTCTTTCTTTTTTTGAGACACTGTCTCACTCTGTCACCCAGGCTGGAGTGCAGTGGCACAGCCACAGCTCACTACAGCCTCAACCTCCCAAGCTGAAGTTGTCCTCCTACCTCAGCCTCCTGAGTGGCTGGGACCACAGGTACGCACCCCCATGCCTGGCTAATTTTTTGTATTTTGTGTAGAGATGGGATTTCACCATGTTTCCAAGGTGATCTTGAACTCTGGGCTCAAGTGATCCTCCCGCCTCCGCCTCCCAAAGTGCTGGGATTCCAGGTGGGAGCTGCCGCCGTCTAGCCAAGTTTATCTTTTTTGTTGCTGGTGGTTTTGGTGTCAGATCTAAGAATTGCTCACCAAATCCGAGGTCGTGAAGACTTGCCCCTGTTTTCTTCTACGAGATTTATACTTTTGGTTCTCCTATTTAGGTCTGTGATCCATTCGAGTTAATTTTTGTATACGGTATGAGGTAAGGATTTGTATGTGAATATACAGTTGTCCCAGCAGCATTTGTTAAAGAGATATCCTCTCCCCTCGAATGGTCCTGACGCCTTGTGGATGTCTGTTGGTTTTAGGCAGTGGAAGTGTTGCAGTGTGAAGGCGTCTTAAAGAAGGCCTAAATCTAGAAGGATTTACATAGTAGGCACTGGAATGGTGATCTGTTTTCCCAGGGTAGAGTTTTTGTTGTCAGCTATATGTTTGGGCTGTTTTTCACGGAATGTCTCGGCCTTACTGTAAATTCTCATCACCCTTATTGTAAACTTGTCTCTGTCAGGATTTCTCTGTGACGTCCATGTGCTGGGGCTGTACTGTTGATGAACAGGAAGTGGCAAAGGGTTGATGGCTGAGCTCTGCGACAGCTCCCACCAGGACTTTAACATCGTTGTTGGCATTTTGTGAATTTTTTGAGTAGGGCAGAAGGTAGCCTTGGGAATCTTAAACTGCTATTTTGAGTTTCAACAGATCTGCTTTGGAAGACTTCAAAGAGCTACCACAGTCTAAGTCATAGTAGCTTAAGACATGAAGTAGAATAAAACTGTGATGTTCCAAGACTTCCCTGTTTATCTGGGGATGCACTTAAATTATATACTAACCTAACCATCACACAGCCCTGGGAAGCACTAGTGCGGTTGCTATCAGCATCTCACCGCAGAGGAAACTGAGGCTCAGAGGCGTGGAGTAACTAATGAAAGGTACACAGTTGGCAGGCGGCAGAGTGAGGCTGGTGCCAGTTACTCTCAATCCATGCTCTTTCCTCTGTGCTTTGCTGCCTCCCAGGTGTCTGACATTGCATGGATTTAAGCCCCACTCTCCCCTAACTTTTTTTTTTTGGGAGACAGAGTCTGCCACTCTCGCCCAGGCTGGAGTGCAGTGGTGCAATCTTGGCTCACTTCAGTCAAGCCATCCTTCCACCTAAGCCTCCTGAGTAGCTGGGACCATAGACATGCACCACCACACCCGGCTAATTTTTGTAGAGATGGGGGTTCACCATGTTGCCTAGTCTGGTCTTGAACTCCTGAGCTCAAGTGATCCACTCACCTCAGCTTCCCAAAGCGCTGGGATGACAGGTGTGAGCCACCATGCCGGGTTTCTCTTCCAGTTTCACACCTTTCTCCTTCTCAGCCTCCTGAGTAGATGGGAGTACGGGCACGTGCCACCATGCCCGGCTAATTTTTTGTACTTTTAGTAGAGACAGGGTTTTACCGTGTTAGCCAGGATGGTCTCCATCTCCTGACCTCATGATCCACCCGCCTCGGCCTCCCAAAGTGCTAGGATTACAGGCGTGAGCCACCGCGCCTGGCCAACCCCGGTTGTTTTTAAATTGTTAAATGGAGACAGTACCTTTCTTCAGGCACTCAGAGGACTTTATCTCACTTGCTTTTATAAATAAAATAATTAAGAGCCCAAGCTATTAGTCCTATTTTATTTTATTTTATTTTTTTGACTTTTTACAAATTATTGCTTTTAACAAAGAAAGCAAAAGTGGATATTTCCATAAAATAAAGGTTTATGTTGACAATTAAAAACTGGACATGCACACGATTAGAAAGTTCAAACGACACGAAAAGGTATACTTCTCGAAGGAAACGACTATGAACAGTTTCTTGTGACTGTTTTAGAAAATTGAAATTTATACATACATATTGTATCTCTTCTTGTTTGTAAAAAGAATATACTAGTATTACTATAATTTTTTTATTTTTATTTTTTGAGACAGAGTCTCATTCTGTTGCCCAGGCTGGAGTGCAGTGGCAAGATCTTGGCACAGTGCAACCTCCCCTTTCCAGCTTTCAGCTATTCTCATGCCTCAGCCTCCCGAGTAGCTGGGGTTACAGGCGTGTGCCACCATGCCTGGCTAATTTTTGTACTTTAGTAGAGATGGGGTTTCACCGTGTTGACCAGGCTGGTCTTGAACTTCTGGCCTCAAATGATCTGCCCACATCGGCTTCCCAAAGTGCTGGGATAACAGGCATGAGCCACAGCTCCCAGCCTATTAGTCCCATTTTATAGAAGATGCAGTTGAGAAACTGTGGTGGAAGACCCACCTTCAGGTACCTCTGGGTCAAGATGTCAATGAAGGTCATCTGATAAGAAACTATTTTCCCCCTGTCCTTAAGGTAAGAGTAGCAAATGCCACCAATCACAAAAGTCACAGCAAGCTGCTGTCACATTCTTTATGGTGATGGCGTCAGGAATTCTAGATGGAGGGAAGCATAGTCACTCCGTGTCAGGTGGCCAGGACTGAAAATATCCAATGCAGTTGTACCAGTTTTAAATACCATGCAGAGAAGATGGCAGAGGTCCCGATCCTGGAGTATTGGCTACTTTGAAAAGTATGTGTGGGTTGCCTCTGTTTTTTAGACACCTCAGCCCTGGGTGTGAGCTGCTAAATACAGTGCATGCCCCTCACCTGCTCAGGATAGGAGACCCCACTGGACTGGCTTCCCCGCTTGTGCATAGGAAGGTGCTATGGACAGTCAGTGTCTACAGAACCTCACTGTGTTTAACACTGCCTTGCAGCCTTACCCTGTGGTTTTTAATTCAGTCAGTTTCTCCTCCCTCCTTTCTCTCCTCAGCCATTGATCTGATGTACGGAGGCATCTACTGCTTTCTGTGCCAGGACTACATCTACGACAAAGACATGGAAATAATCGCCAAGGAGGAGCAGCGGAAGGCTTGGAAAATGCAAGGTTTGGTTCCGCCTCAATTTACCTGCTTGATCCTGCAGTTCCCTCATGTCCATCAAGGGCAGACCCAGTAGGAGAAAGAGAAGTAGCTAGGTGGGAAGTGGTGGACTGGTGGGAAGAGGCCCCCTACCTTCCCCTAGGGCCCACAGTGGAGTCAGCTGAAGCTGTGCACGGCAGGGGAGGGGGCTAGCGTCGAGGCATGCATAGCTAGCTGCCCGTTTGCCTGGGACTGCTTCCAAGGTGTTCCCTTGCAGGTCCCCCAGGGCCCGCAGCTGGGTCAGGGGAACAACTCCAGCAGTACTTAAGCTCTCCCAGGGCGCACCTGCAGATGTGGGGCTGAACCAGTGTGGTGAGGTCACACCTCTCGGGGACAGGCGACTCCGTATCTGGACGTCCCTGAGTGGTTTGCCCTCAGCTCTGTTGAATTCTAGCAAGCGATCTCTTTGCAGTAATGTTATGTGTAAACATACCTCCTTCCTCCCAGGAGAGCAGACTATTTTCTGATCAGTTATCGTAGAATCTGTTTTAAAACTCTGGACTGTTCGGGTGATGTTAAATCCATGTCAGCAGCGTGAACCCACCAGATGGAAACAGAGTCTCCCAGCAGCCCCACTGCACAGTCAGATGCTTGCAATCCTGTGAGCTGCCCTCGTAGCTCTTGCATCAGCGTGGGTTTCGCACTTGCTGTTGCCTCTCTGTGGCCACACGCTCTGGTTATTGGCTGCACAGAGGGAGAGGTGCAAACATGCAGTCATTTACTTTATCATTTATTTTGTCTTGGCTTCCCTGAGTTTGTTTGTTTGTGTTTTTTTTTGGTTTTTAATTCTGACAGATGCTCGTAGTGGTTGACAATGATAGCGACATAGTGGCAGGTGTGGTTTGCCCCAGTTGACAGGTGAGCATCTGATCTCTCTGGTAGCAAAGCCATCGCTGTTGGCAAAGGAAACATATGAACCTGACACCTGCTTTACATTCTTGCCTTGATTACTCTCCATTGAACACACCCCAGTGTTTTGTGAAGGGAAGAGTAGCAACAGGGGCACTTTCAGTGAGCAGAGTTATTTGTGTTTAACGAGTCTTTTCTGGAGAGCAATCTTTGACTTGTGTTCCCTCTTCTCAGGGAACACTCTCAGAAATGTAATAACATTGTGACTAAGTGTGGGTGTATTGTTTTGTGCAGAGCATTTAAAGCACAGGCCTAAGACATGTATGTCCAGGATTAAAATGGAATTCTTCTAGAATCATTTTATAATTCCATCTATCCTAAATGACGTGTCTTTTAAGGTATTTTGAAGTATTCATTAATATTGGTTGGCATGGAACAAGTACCTCTGAGTGCATAGGGTGTGCATTGAATGGAATACGATGCCGATTAGCATTTACACCACTCTCTGAATATTTTGTGGCACACGCATTTTTAACTGTTGGATCTATTTTAGTTTGGTAACCCTACGCTGTGTTTATGCTATTTCAGTTTGCTGAAAAGTGCATGCTCTCTCCTTCAGTTTCACTTGTTTGCAGGAGAATCCTTCATGTAAGTTCCCGTTGGTGCTGATGCTGCCATCTGTGTGCTGAAGGATGGAAGACATTTGAAAAACAACTGTTTCGGCATTGGCTTTGGGGTAGTTTTGACTGGAGGTGCTGCTTTTCTTCTTGCAGGAAACGTAGCTCACATGCTCATGCCCTCTGTGAGAAGCTCCTTTAAGTGTTGTGTGTAGCCCGTCAGCACAGTCGAGTTTGAGAAAGCTGTGGTGCTGTGGATGTCGCCCACTGAAATGCACCCTGACAGACAGCACAGCGCCACAGCTTTTATGTGTAAGCATACTTGATGTGAAAATGTAGCTAATAGCACTTGGAACTGTCCTTCATCTGCTTGCTTTAGGCGCTGGAGAGAAGTTTTCAACTTGGGAACCAACCAAACGGGAGCTTGAACTGCTGAAGCACAACCCAAAAAGGAGAAAGATCACCTCGAACTGCACCATAGGTGGGTGGAGGGCGGCGTCACTCAGCTGGGTTTCTTTCCGTGCTTTGAAAGTAAATACAGAATTGTGAGTTTCGTAAATCCACATGATTCTGTTGAAGCCCTGCATAACGGTCACTCATCGATGTGCTCAGCGACCAGCTCTTGAGCACCTGTTCTCTGCAGGGACCTGCAGTGGGCGTGGGGTGCAGAGTGATGTGTGGCAATGGCCCTGCCCTCACAGCCTTCGATGTCTGTGTGGGTAAAGGGACTCAAGTTGATTCTGGCCAGGGTGAGGCTGGGCACAGTAATCTTCAGGGAGAGAAATGTGTGTGAGTGTGAGTGTTAGCTGAATTTTCTACAAATTGAGGGAATACCCTTTAGAACTTTTTTTTTTTTTTTGAGACAGAGTCTTGCTCTGTCGCCCAGGCTGGAGCGCAATTCACTGCAACCTCCGAGCAGTGATCCTGGGCCCAAGTGATCCTTCCACCTCAGCCTCCTAAGTAGCTGGCATTGCAGGTGCACACCACCATGCTTGGTTAATTTTTGTGTTTTGCGTAGAGACGTTTCACCATGTTTCCCAGGCTGGTGTTGAACTCCTGGGCTCCAGTGATCCTCATGCCTTGGCTTCCCAAAGTGCTGGGATTACAAGTATGAGCCCCTGCACCTGGCCCTAGAACATTTTTTAAAAAAAATTATTATTATACTTTAAGTTCTTGGGTACATGTGCACAACGTGCAGATTTGTTCCATATGTATACAAGTGCCATGTTTGGTGTGCTGCACCCATTAACTCGTCATTTACATTAGGTATATCTCCTAATGCTATCCCTCTCCCCACCCCACGACAGGCCCCGGTGTGTGGTGTTCCCCTTTGTGTGTCCAAGTGTCCTAGAACATTTTTAAAAAGCTGTTTTGTTTGTTTGTTAGGCTCCACTCTGACCTGGCCTGTTGCCATAGAAACTATATTCGTGTAATTCTGTCAAAGCATACAATGGCCGAAGTGGGAGGGGGCGATGGTGGTGGACATTCTTCAATACCGTTCATGTAAAAGTGGCGTAAAAACTAACAAAATGCGATACCTCATCGTTTTCCGGCTTCTTGAATGAATGAATAAAAGAAAAATGAGTATGTAGAGGTAGAGGAAGCTGCTGGGATCCAGCGGCACCTGTGGCTCAGCACACGGGTAACCCCGGCTCTCTGGCGACTTGTGTCCAGGTCTGCGTGGGCTCATCAACCTTGGGAACACGTGCTTCATGAACTGCATCGTGCAGGCGCTGACCCACACGCCACTTCTGCGGGACTTCTTCCTGTCTGACAGGCACCGCTGTGAGATGCAGAGCCCCAGCTCCTGTCTGGTCTGTGAGATGTCCTCACTGTTTCAGGAGGTGAGCATCATTGACTAATGCAGGGGAGCATTTCTGTTCCTTTGTTTCCACTTAAAAAAAAAAAAAAAAAATTCAATAGGGCGGACCGTGATAAAGGAAGATACATTTAGAACCTTTTGTAGTAAGTTACTGTTTAATATACATGTCTATTATGGAAAACACAGTTTTCCAAAAAGGGAAGACCTGACATGATCTGGGGGGACGGGCTGCTGACTCAGAACAAGGAGGAGCTCTTTGAGCGGCGTGTGGCAGAGAGTTCCCTGGCGGGTGACATTTGTCTCAGGCGGGTGATTCTCCCCATTCCTCTTCCTCCATGGTCTACCTTCCTGGCTCAGAAAGGCATGCATGTGCCACCCTCCTGCGTCCTGGTATGTGGGTCTCCTCCGCTGCCAGGCCTCTCTAAGCATGCCCAGTCAGAGCCTCTGTCCTCATGAGCTACGTGCTACACGTTGGCAGTTCTTGTGGGCTGCATGTGTAGCCTTCCTGTCCACGTCTGTCCCTGGTGTCAGAGCATGGCAGTGCTCAGGGCAAGGCGTATCACGGCTGCTGCCTCAGCCCCCACCGGCTCCGTGACTCAGACGTGCTTCTCAGAGCTGAAGCAGCTCAGTTACCTCAACTAATAACCAGCCTGGTTCCTGTTCTTCAGGGGCCTTGCACAGCAGCCAGCCAACAGCCCTGGCCTGTTTCTCTTGGTAACCTCTGAGAGACGCAGCCACGCCGGCTCACTCGTGTATGTCTGGTCATTGGTCACTTTTGTGGAGTTGCAGAGTTGAGCTTTGCAACACAGCTGCAGAGTTGAGCGTTTGGACAGAGGCTATTCAACCTGGAAAGCTGAAATTATTTACTGCCTGGGCCTTTCAAAAACATTGCCAGCCTCTGGTTGCGCCTAAGCCATTTCCTCAAAGTACCTGCAATGTGCCATAACTGCTGGGGGCACAGCCCAAATAGGAGAAAGGAGGGGGCAGCTGGGAAGTTGGTGGGCGGTTGTGTCACTGACTTTAGTGATAAGCTCCTTGTGTTAGATTGTTTTTAGACTCAGGTTTGTTAAGGTGTAAATTACAGTCACATCCACCTTTTAGTGTATAGATAGATGGGTTTTGATGAATGCATAGTTTTGTAACTGCTGCTACTCAAGATGAAGAGCCGTCACCTCCCCAAACTCCCTCATGCCCCTCTGAAGTCAACCCCTCGTCCCCAGACCCCGGCAGCCGCCGATCTGTCTTCGGTCCCTTGAGTGTCCTTTACCAGCACATCATACGGATGGGTGCATGCAGGAAGTAGCTTTTCAGAATCTGGCTGTCCCTACTTAACATAATACTGGGTGGATTCACCCGTGTCTTGCGCGCATCCATGACGTGTGCTTTCGATGGCTGAGTTGGGTTCCATTATGTAGGTGGGCTATGGTTGTCTGTTTCCCAATTCAGACACATTTGGGTGGTCTATGGTTTGGGGGTTTTTTGATGAGGAATAAAACTGCCACGAATTCCGTATTTGCACAGGCAAGACCCTTCTGTGGGTCTGAACTGGTGAGGAAGCTGCGGGATGGAGGGTGTGCTGCTGGGTCTGGGTCCTGAATGGAGCTGGTGGAGAGGATTGATTGGCTGGGAAGCCCTGAGCTCACTGCCATTAGCCTCAGAGCCAGAGAGTCCTGTGGCTGATGCTGGTGAATTCTGCGTCATCACAGTGATGTGCCTCCCTCTGTGGCGGTGCCGGTGTCCATGGGCCAGAGTGGTTTGACTGGTGCTTTGAGGAAACTAGTATTGGGCAAATCGAGTCACTTTTATTTGCATGTGATCTCATAGTAGCAAGTCATAATTCATCTTTTAGGCTTATATGTGGAAAACTAGATGGTGGAAAGGTAAAAATTCATATGAGGACTCAAAAAGTCCAATGAGCCCAGATAAAAATAGACTTTGCAAAAAGTAGAAAAGTAAAATTGAACCATTTGTGTCAAATGAGCTACAGCCAATGGTAGGCATCTGATAAAGGTTTTGCTTGTGCGTACTCTGTGTTCAGAGTCTACATTTATTCCTGACAAGGTTTCCTTTCCCCGCCCTCTGGCAGTTTTACTCCGGACACCGGTCCCCTCACATCCCGTATAAGTTGCTGCACCTGGTGTGGACCCACGCGAGGCACCTGGCAGGCTACGAGCAGCAGGATGCCCACGAGTTCCTCATCGCGGCCCTGGACGTGCTCCACCGACACTGCAAAGGTGGGCGCTGGGCTCTGCGCCCTCCACCAGCGCAGGATGTTTTCCTCGAAGGGGAAGGAAGCAAAGCGAGCGTGTGCGCTCGTGCAGAAAGGGGCACAGGTGACACGTTCCATTGTTTTGTAGCCTTTGTTGTCATTTGTTTCTGAGGTCACTATAACTAATGACCTCAGAGAGGCTCCTCCTGGTTGGTTTTTAAGAGGCGAGGAAGTAGTTCCAGCAGTATGGCAGGTCCTCAGTGAGCCATCACAGTGAACAGCAAGTTCTTGGAGCCCTCTTGGGCCTATGCTTTGAGGCCCCTGCCTGCTTTGGCATTTCTGGGATCCTGTGGGTTCTCAGGCCCGAGGCTTCTGGACATCCCCCAAACACAATCACCCAACCGTCTCCTTCCCCTTGGGGACTCTCCAAAAGGACTGGTGGTTGCTCTGAAATAGCCGGAGAGCTGGGACACAGGACGAGCAAAGCTTCTCTTGGGGTCTCATTGGACCTGGGCCATCTCCCACAACATCATCCCACAGCCTGGCCCCAGGGTGGTGCCGTCACGAGGTTCTCAGAGGTGTGTGCTGATGGTGGTTGGCGGGGGCAGCTCTTAGGGCTGGAGGTGGGAGGCTAGGACTGAATGACTTCAGCCAAGATCGGCTCCCCTGCACTCCTCACGGTGGAGATCCTAGTGTGAGAGACCTGCAGCGGAAGTCTGTCTCTGCAGGCAGAGAGACTGAGGGGTGATTCTCACACAGTGGGCTGGTCACTTGCAGGTCTTCCTAAAGCCTGTGCTGGCGTTTCTGATTCAGTAGGTCTCCGGGGGGCAAGGGCTGCTTCACTCCTACTCAGTTACCAGCTGATGCTGATGCCGCTGGTTCAGATGCCACGCTCTGAGAAGCCATGCGCTCAGCTAACAGGGCACCTGGCTGCTTGTGAGTTACCTGTGGCCTCTGGGCTGGCACAGCTAGTTGTAGGCGATATCCTACCGGTTAATTTTAACTTGGAGTCTTTTAGAGAACAGAGTCCTGTTCTGACAGTTCACTGAGTTGAACAGCCCGGTGGGCTGGCCTTCCCATCGCTTCTCATCAGTCTCAGGGCTGTGCAGCCGGGGCTAGGCGCTGATGCACACCCTATGGATTCTGAGATCACAGCCCAGAAACAACCCACAGTTGAGCTAAAATGGCTGGTTTTGGTCAAATGTGACTGGGTTCTGTTCTCTTTTGGTGCTTTTTTTTTTCCCCTCTGAAAAACTACGTGATCCTTTTAATTCTTACCCTAGAAATCAAATGAAAGTTACTCAGTATTTAGTAGCTTAGGTAGAGTTTTGTTTCCTAGTGTGATTTATGAGAGGAAAGAGCACTGTGGAGGTCGACTACGCTGTTATCTCAAGCACCTAGTCAGAATAACGAAGAGCCTTCTGCAGGCAGCAGAAAGATGTTCTAAAAATCACTTGTTCAAAAATGCATCGCTGTTAAAATATTCATATGACCAAAAATGTGACAAAACCACTGACGTGCTTCTGACAGAATTCCCTTGGAAATGTCTGATGTCAGGTTCTTCTGTCTAGAAACGTGGTTGCCAGAGCCATTTAGCAAGGTGGCCTGGCCACGTGCCCTTGGTTACCTGGAGTTGTTTATCCTTTTGGCCTCCACAGCATCTTTCTGTTTATCGACTTTTGTTTTGTTTTCTTTTGTTTTTGAGTCAGAGTCTCCCTGTCTGGCCGTCTCGCCAGGCTGGAGTGCAGTGGTGCGATCTCAGCTCACTGAAACCTCTGCCTCCTGGGTTCAAGTGATTCTCCTGCCTCAGTTTCCTGAGTAGCTGGGACTACAGGCGTTTGCCACCACATCCAGCTAGTTTTTTGTGTTTTTAGTAAAGATGGGGTTTCACTGTGTTAGCCAGGATGGTCTTGATCTCCTGACCTCGTGATCTGCCCGCCTCGGCCTCCCAAAGTGGTGGGATTACAGGCGTGAGCCACCGTGCCTGGGCATTCTGTTCATCATTCTTTGCGTCTTCCTGTATGGATATTCTTGTCCCCTAACATTTTGTCCCATGAATTTGAGATCCCTCTCAGAAGACTCAATGGCCACTCTCTATTCCACTGTCATGATTCAATGTCTTTGAACTGTGACATGTATACAGGTGGCCTCGTGCCCTGTCCGCACTGTCTAGTGAAGTTATTTAGAATACGTATTCCACGTATGAATTAAGTTCTGCTACTTAAGTTTCTTCTTTGCAGATTGTACACATGAATATGAATGAAGCGTGTATTGAATAGAGAGGATGGGAGTGGCACTTCCAGATGCAACTGACTGGAAGACACGCTGTCCCCCGGGGGCTCCAGCTGATGAGGACAGCCTGAGAGTGTCCTGCGGTGTCACTTTCTAAACTCGGGGCACCACGATACCTAGTCAGGGAGGGGGCTTGTATGGGGCTTCCCCAGGTGTACCTGGCCCGCCGTATGTTCAGATGTCTCACCGGAACAATATTGATTCAATCATTCTTCATGTGAAAATGGGAATCAATTACCCTGCTCAGTCATTGGGCATTAGGTGGGTTTTCTTGGCGAGATTGAAGCTGTGGGGCTCTTAGGGAATGAGAAAAAGGAACATTGAAAATCCAAGTGCTGTAATTTCTCATCACATTAAAATAACGAGGAGACCCTCTGCTAAAATGAGGCATGTCCTCATGTGGCCGTTTAAAGCACCGGCCCTGGCTTCCCCAGGCCTCGGCAGGGTGAACTGCTCTTTCCTTAGAGACTCCCCATCTTTGGGGCACGCAGACGCTAATCCCAGAGCCGTGGTCTGTCCCCAGGTGATGACAACGGGAAGAAGGCCAACAACCCCAACCACTGCAACTGCATCATAGACCAGATCTTCACGGGCGGGCTGCAGTCAGACGTCACCTGCCAAGTTTGCCAGTAAGTGAGAGGCTGCGTGCTCGGCAGTGTCAAACCCTCTGGGGCCGTACTGACATCCTCCCAGTCTCCAGTGCTGTGTGTGCTCTGAGAGGTCTTTAAGGAGGCTGCAAGAAAAATGATTAACAGCTGCCCTGAGAGTGAAGGCTGTGGGGTGGGGGTGCTTCCTCTTGCGGAGGTGTCCCCTTGGGATGCGAGCCCTTTGTGTTGAGGTCTTGGCTGTTGTCCACAGCCAGCAGTGTGTTCTTGGAAGCTTCCCCCATTTCTCATCTTACAGCCCTTGACCAGGGACCAAGTAAAATAGCCCTTTTCAAGAAGGCGTGGCTCATGCATGATGGATTGTTTGCATACGTGCTTCAAAGTGTGTTGGTATTTTATGGTTTCTGGTTCCATTTTCTCTGCTGTAGTGGCCCTGATTCTTCTCGGGTGTGGTCTCTGCTTAGAGCCCCAAGCGTTGAGTGCAGGGAGAATCCACTGCTTTGTTAGGTCAGAGGGACCCTCTCACCCAACCTCAGTGCATGCTGCTGGTATTTTTTTTTTTTTTTTTTTTAAGGCATGGGGTCTTTTTTATTTTGCCCAGGCTGGCCTTGAACCCATGGGCTCAAGCGATGCTCCCTCCTTAGCCTCCCAAGTAACTGGGACTACAGGCATGGGCCTCTGTGCCTGGCTCTGTTCTTTACTCTTGAAGTTTTAAAAACCCTGGAAGTGATGCACCGAAATTATTTCAGAACCCAGAATGGATTGTCACTTCTAAACTGTATAAGACCAGCAAATATCAGGAAAGGCCAGTGCTGCCTGTGTCACGGGGGCTGTTTTCTGTAAGGAGCGTAGACCATTAGGGGCCTTGGCTCTGAGCATTAGAAACTGAGTTTGCTCTGAGCAATTTGGACCTTCTTGCTGTCCCTTAACTGCTGAATTCTATTAGCAGGAGATTGTCTCAAGATTTAAATCCCATGTAAATATCAAGAGTAAATTTCCCAGTCTGCGAGTTTTCATTTTTTGTATTGTTAAATAAATTTCTAGCAAGGAACTGGCCTTGTGAAATGCAGCATTGAATAGCCACACTCCGTGAAGAAGTGTGCGGAGGTCTCCAGTGTCACCTAGGGTCACAGGCCCCAAGTTCTAGCTGAGATAGACCTGTGGATTCAATTCAGAGCCTCTGATGGGACCCATGAGTTTATATCCTCCTCCTAAGTCCCTTGGTGACTGTGATGGTCTCCAGACTGGGAAGCCCTTGTTTGAGGAGCGCCTCTCGCCTTCCGAGTTCACACCCGCCCCTCCCCAGGGCCACCTGGGGAACTAGGACACGTTGGGTGTGAGCACGGCTGCTCTTGCTCCTGTCCCATCCCACCTGAGTGTCACTGCGACAGGGCACAGCGAGGAAGGGATGTGGGAATGGCCTCCACTCCAGGCTGCCTCGAGCTGGGTTGGTGTCGGTCCTCACAGCCATTGTTTTCCCTCTGCTTCCAGTGGAGTCTCCACCACCATTGACCCCTTCTGGGACATCAGCTTGGATCTCCCCGGCTCTTCCACCCCGTTCTGGCCCCTGAGCCCAGGGAGCGAGGGCAACGTGGTAAACGGGGAAAGCCACGTGTCGGGAACCACCACGCTCACGGACTGCCTGCGACGGTGAGAGGCCTGCACCCACACGGCCAGGGCCAGTCTTCTGGCGGGAAGGCTGTGCTCCATCAGGACCAAAGCAGGCTCTTTCACATGCCCAGGACAGAGCCTGGGCAAAGATGTGGCATTGCCTGGATTGGCTGCAGTCTCTGATGCTAGTTTGTCCTTTGTTTTGACCAGATGACTCAATATTTGTGTCCCCCAGCTTTGCACAGCACCAGGTGTCGGTGTCAGCATCTGCTATTCCAACCTCCACATGTAAATGAACCCAGAGCCAAACTGGATGCTCCCTTAGCCCTTGTTCTAATCACCTACCCCGGAGTGTGAGCTGAGACGCGCCTGGCCCTCTCTCCATGGTGCACAGCCTTCTCTGCACATGATTGAAACTTAGTTGTGGTGTTCTGTACTCTTAGGGCCGTTTTTGAAATTGTGCGTGTACTGCTTCATTTGGGATAAGTAGTAATATTTACAAAGTGATTTTTTTTGTTTGTTTTTTTGGAGACAGCGTCATGCTCTGTCGCCCAGGCTGGAATGCAGTGGTGTGATTTCTGCTCACTGCAGCCTCTGCCTTCCAGGTTAAGGTGATTCTCTTGAGTAGCTGGGACTACAGGCGTGCACCACCGTGCCTGGCTAATTTTTGTATTTTTAGTAGAGCGGGGGTTTTACCATGTTGGCCGGGCTAGTCTCGAACTCGTGATCTCAGGTGATCCGCCCATCTTGGCCTCCCAAAGTGCTCACAGGCGTGAGCCACGACAACTGTGAGTGATTTTTTAAAAAAAATGTATGTAAGTAGCTGTAGCATACAATTATAAACACAGCAGAAAACCTTCCTACACTTTGTCTATTGTTTTATAGTCTTTATTTGCATCAATTAAACGTAATGCAGAAGAGTCCTTGTTGAGTGGAAGTATCCCTTAGAAGAGGTACGAGCCTTTGGTTTCTGTCTGGCTGCATAGTCAGCAGGACCAAAGTTGCATGTTTATTTTAATTTTTGAGATAGGGTCTTGCTCTGTCATGCAGGCTGGAGTGCAGTGGTGCCATTATAGCTCACTGCAGCCTCGATCTCCTGGGCTCAGCCTTGGTCTCCTGCCTCGGCCTCCTGAGTAGTTGGGACTACAGATGCGTGCCACCATGCCTAGCTGATTTTGTGATTTATTTATTTATTTATTTATTTTTGAGACAGAGTCTTGCTCTGTCTAGAGTGCAGGCTAGAGTGCAGTGGTGTGATTTCGGCTCACTGCAAGCTCTACCTTCCAGGTTCAAGCAATTCTCCTGCCTCAGCCTCCCAAGTAGCTGGGAGTACAGGTGCCCGCTATCATGTCTGGCTAACTTTTGTATTTTTAGTAGAGACGGGGTTTCACCACATTGGCCAGCGTGGTCCCAAACTCCTGACCTTAGGTGATCCACCTGCCTTGGCCTCCCGAAGTGCTCGAATTAGAGGTGTGAGCCACACCGCGCCAGGCCTTTTTTCTTTTTTTTTAGAGACAGAGTCTTGCCACATTACTCAGGCTGGTCTTGAACTCCTGAGCTCAAGCGATCCCCCCACCTTAGCCTCCCAAAACGCTGGTATTACAGACATGAGCCACTGTGCCCTCCTGAAAGTTTGCATGTTTCGAATTTTGAAAGCATCAACTTTGTTACCTTGTTAAGGCCACATAATAGAGTATCATATTTTTTAATTTGGAAAACTACCTCAAATAATGAAAACCAAAACCTTTTTTTTTTTTTTTTTTTTTTTTGAGATGGAGTCTTGCTCTGTCGCCAGGCTGGAGTGCAGTGACGCAACCTCGGCTCACTGCAACCTCTACCTACCAGGTTCAAGCGATTCTCCTGCCTCAGCCTCCCAAGTAGCTGGGATTACAGTGCCCGCCACCATGCCCAGTTAATTTTTGTATTCTTAGTAGAGGCGAGGTTTCACCATGTTGGCCAGGATGGTCTTGATCTCCACCTCGTGATCCGCCCACCTTGGGGTCCCAAAGTGCTGGGATTACAGGTGTGAGCCACCACGCCCAGCCAACCAAAACCTTTTTAAAGAAAGTCTTTGCAGCTAAATTAAATTTAATCATAAATTCCAGTAAAATGAAAGCTTTGCCAAAACAGCAGACCATGAGGGAGAAACCACACTTCACAAACTACGATGTGTAGAAAGCCTGTGTTGTTAGGAGAGACGTGACGTGGTGCTGGCTCCCGGGAAGGTGGAGGAGAGGTAGAGTGCACCCTTCCCCACTTTGTATTGCAAGCAAAGGCTCCTTTTCAAGTCCTTTGGAGAGCAGATCACAAAGCTAGCAACGAAACAGGTGCAGCTTTGCCCAGAGGCCCCCTCGTCTTGCCCTAGATAAGATGGCAGAATTTCCAGAGCATAAACAAGGGCTTTCCATACCTGGTTGTGAAAAGATTGAATTTTTTACTGGTGTTTCAGCTTCAAAATTTGGCGTGCGCTTTGTTGAATCATCTGTTCCACGTGTTTTGTCAGTGGCAGCTGACACCTGTGCCAGACACGCTTCTGATGCAGCCCTCCTACCTCCTGCCTCTGCACCATCAGGAAATTACCTTTCCCAGACTTCTCGCCTCTCTTTTTTTTTGAGATGGAGTCTTGCTCTTGTTGCCCAGGCTGGAGTGCATGGAGTAATGTGATCTTGGCTTCACTGCAACCTCCGCCTCCCGGGTTCAAGTGATTCTCCTGCCTCAGCCTCCCGAGTAACTGGGATTACAGGCATGCACCACCTTGCCTGACTAATTGTGTATTTTTTGTAGAGGCGGGGTTTCTCCATGTCAGTCAGGCTGGTCTTGAACTCCCAACCTCAGGTGATCCGCCCGCCTTGGCCTCCCAAAGTGCTGGGATTACAGGCGTGAGCCGCCGCACCTGGCCAGCCTCTCGCCTCTCTACATTAAACTGCTTGTGTTGAGATCACATACAGTTGTAAGAAGCCATTAGGTACCCTTTACTCTGGTCCCCCAATGGTGACCTCCTCAGCCCTGTGGTGCGATGCCCCGGCCAGGATTCAGACATTCATACAGAAAGTACCCAGCATCTCCACTGCCTCCCTGCCCACCACCCGCTCCGTAACCCCAGTCACCCCGGACTTCTCCATTTCCATACACCTGACAGTTCCAGAATGTCATGTCAACCGAATCATGTAACAGGGAACCCTTTGAGATTGGCTTTTCTTGTGCATCCTAATTCTCGGGATGCATCCCGGGTGCAGCTTGGGATCAGTAGTCCTTTCCTTTTTTGCTGCTGACTCATATTCCATGGTACAGTGTTCCACAGTTTCTTTAATTACTCACCCATGGGAAGACGCGAGGTGTTTCCAGTTTTGTGACTTACGAGTAACACTCTGGTACGCGTTTGTGGACCGTTCTTGTGTGAACATTAGTTTTCATTTTTCTGGCTTAAATTCAGCGGCTGGGCCATGTGGTAGTTAGAATATTATTACCATTCCCCTAGGCCTATCCTGGAAATAAAATATTTAAGATAAATGTTCTTTAAAGAGACAGGCAGCGAAGGTGGATAACATTTTCTCTTTTTTTCATTGTTTCATTTTTAGTTGTATGTGTATGTTTTTGGTAGGGAAATGAACCCATTGAAAGAGATAAAATACCTCTTTCCTCCCATTTTTCTGTCTCTTACATCTCCCTTACTGCTTCTGTCTTCTTTAAACGCCTGTAGATTCACCAGACCAGAGCACTTGGGCAGCAGCGCCAAGATCAAATGCAGCGGTTGCCATAGCTACCAGGAGTCCACGAAGCAGCTCACTATGAAGAAACTGCCCATCGTAGCCTGTTTTCATCTCAAAGTAAGTTTTCCAGAAAGCCAACTCGAATGGCAGACTTAGTTTTTAGTCCACAGTACGGCCCTCAGCCTTTTGGTTTGCTGTGCGGTTGCATTTTTCATAACTGCAGCAAGGAGGAAGAACACCGAGGAAGGGAGGATGTGAGTGAATTGTCCTGTCTGTGAATTATCCTTTTGTCTGTGCTGCGGTAAACAAAATCAGTGGCTTCACAGTGAAAGTAGAATGTGAGTTCCTTTTCTTGGGAAGCGGAGTGGTTGTGACGTTTTTTTTACTTGTGACATTCCTCCAGCTACCCCTTCTTCTGGTTTTCTGTTCTCTTTTAAGACAAAGGCCCTCAGCATTCAGATCTGGTCCAGGAGTTGTCAAGCTCTTTCTCTGGAGGCCCGGATAGTAAAGATGTCGGGCTCCACAGGCCGCGTGCGATCCTACAATTCTCTGTTGCATGTTCTTTTTTTTTTTTTTTTTTTTTTTTGAAGGCGGAGTCGGGGTTTGTCTCTTGGGCCCGGGGGGGGGGGCCGTGTGTGGGCTCACTGCAAGCTCCGCCTCCCGGGTTCACGCCATTCTCCTGCCTCAGCCTCCCGAGTAGCTGGGACTACAGGCGCCCGCCACCTCGCCCGGCTAGTTTTTTGTATTTTTTTTAGTAGAGACGGGGTTTCACCGTGTTAGTCAGGATGGTCTCGATCTCCTGACCTCGTGATCCACCCGTCTCGGCCTCCCAAAGTGCTGGGATTACAGGCTTGAGCCACCGCGCCCGGCCTGTTGCATGTTCTTTGTTTCATTTTACCACCCTTTAAACATGGAAAGCACGTATTCCTAGCTTGCTGGCTGGAATGGGTGACTCCTCATCTAGGCAAAGGAATGTCTTCTGTCTGGTGAAAGGAACAATTTGCTTGTTTTTGCTGCCACGAGCCATGGATCTTGTTTTGTTTTCTGTGCTTTGCTGTGAGATTACTTCTTGTACCCTTGGTGTTATCACTGAACAGTCCCATCATTTGAAGACTTGACTTGAACCCTGTACATGAGGACTTGGGTGGATTACCATTATGTTTTTGAATCTGTAATTCTAGCTGTAGCTACAAGGCAATTCAATAAAATACAAAGAGATACACAGACACCTGTCATTGGAAGAAGCCCCGAAGCTTCCAGTGGCATTTCTGGTCTTCTTTCCTCTTCCCTCTGCCCCTTTCCTATTTCTGCAGCGATTTGAACACTCAGCCAAGCTGCGGCGGAAGATCACCACGTATGTGTCCTTCCCTCTGGAGCTGGATATGACCCCTTTCATGGCCTCCAGGTAGGTGGGGGTGTAGGCCCGTTCTGTGTCCGGAGGGGCTGTGATCTTATCAGGACAGGAATGCAGCTCGGATCTCCTATGGTAAGATGACTGTTGGCCGGTGCGGTGGCTCCCGCCTGTAATCCCAGCACTTCAGGAGGCCGAGGAGGGCAGATCACGAGGTCAAGAGATTGAGACCATCATGGCCAACATGGTGAAACCCCGTCTCCACTGAAAATACAAAAATGAGCTTGATGTGGTGGCAAGCGCCTGTAGTCCCAGCTACTTGGGACGCCAAGGCAGGAGAAACGCTTAAACCTGGGAGGTGGAGGTTGCAGTGAGCCAAGATTGCGCCACTGTACTCCAGCCTGGTGACAGAATGAGACTCCATCTCAAAAAAAAAAAAAAAAAAAGATGACTGTTGATATTAATATAAACCCCACCTTCCCAAAATCTATTTATCCTGATCTTAAGATGCGGCACATGTTAATGAGTGGTTTTTCATCAGATACCCTGTTTTTGTTTTGAATGTTTCTCTTAACAATTCTCAATCCACTTTCGAACCGGCAAAGTCCTCGAGGTAGGATCACAGCGAGAAGGCAGCACTTCAGTTCATGGAACAGATGTTGAAGTACAGACAGACAGAGCCGGCGTTGCCGTTGTAGCTTGCGTTTTCCTTTCCACACCTGCCTATTATGGGGCACCTGGCATTGAGCTGCTTACCAATGCATGAGACAAATAGGAGTTTCCTGTGGCTCTGTGACAAATGACCAAAAACTTAGTGGCTTAAAATTAAATTTCCTCATAGTTCTAGAGGTCGGAAATCTGAAATCAAGGTGTTGTCAGGGCCCCATGGTCCTACAGGGGTCTGGGGGATTCCATTCCTCAGCGCCTCCAGCTGCCAGTGGTTCCACGTGTTCCTTCTGTGGCTGTGCCACTCCCCTCATTTCTGGGTCACATGGCCGGCTCCCCTGAGTCTGTGTCCAGTTCCCTCTGCTTCTCTGTCATGACAGTGGTCATTGGCTTTAGGGCCCAGGCAGATCATCCAGGAGGATCTTATCTCAACATCTTTACTTCGGGTCTCTGCAAAGACTGGTTTTAAGGCCGGGCGCGGTGGCTCAAGCCTGTAATCCCAGCACTTTGGGAGGCCGAGACGGGCGGATCACGAGGTCAGGAGATCGAGACCATCCTGGCTAACACAGTGAAACCCCGTCTCTACTAAAAACACAAAAAAAAAAAAACTAGCCGGGCGAGGTGGCGGGCGCCTGTAGTCCCCGCTACTCGGGAGGCTGAGGCAGGAGAATGGCGTAAACCCGGGAGGCGGAGCTTGCAGTGAGCTGAGATCCGGCCACTGCACTCCAGCCCGGGCGACAGAGCAAGACTCCGTCTCAAAAAAAAAAAAAAAAAAAAGACTGGTTTTACAAATGAGGTCCCAGTCTCAGGTTCTGAGGGTTGAGACGTGGGTTTTGTTATTTGCAGGGTGTTATTTTTTGGCGGCCACAGTAGTCCCAGCCCCAGCACTGTGGAAAGCATGTTGCCTTTTGGTAGTTACTGGCCTGTCCCACCGCCGTGGCACACAGCTGACCTCCTGAATAAAACAAGACCACCAGAGTCAGAGTTCCATGCCATCAGCCTGACCACAATGGTCACATACTGAGGGAGGTGACAGTACTGTTCTAAGGTCAGGGTCTCAAAGATCTTGGTGTTTCCTGCCAAACACAGCTGTGGGAAAATGCAGTAAACAATGCTCATGGCTTCCTGTTCCCAGCACCGCCTCTCCCCTGTCTCACTAGGAGAGGTGCTGGTCATGAAACAATAAGCAGCAATCTTTGTCCCTTTTGAGGAGGCACCTGCCTAGGTTGTGAAATGGATTCAGCTTACCCTTTCAAGCTAACCCTTTACATGTGGGAGGAAGGGCGCCTTCACCATCTACTTTGTCACAAACCAAACTCAGATTCCTCCAGATCCAGCTCCCGTCACCAGCCCTATTCAGGACCCACCTTGGAAGAACCAGGGGCCACACCAGGTGGCCCCAGGACCCAGGTGTGCTCTGAGGCAGCGGCCTCCACAGCTCGAGTGTCAGTGTCCTCACGAAACCTGGGGAGATTTCTACCTGAAGCATAAAGCGCAGCCCGGTGCAGTGTCTGCATGGTCAAGCCTGGATAAGTGTCAGTTTCAGGAGAGGCTTGTATCTCTGGGCCTGATGATTTTAACGATGCTGAATACTGCCGTTGTCTGTTACAGCAAAGAGAGCAGGATGAATGGACAGTACCAGCAGCCCACGGACAGTCTCAACAATGACAACAAGTAAGTGGTGCTCAGCGGTGTGGGTGTCCGAGGCCTCGGGCCAAGAGCTGGGGTGGGTTCCTGTCTGGCCCTGTAGGGCACCCCGCAGGTCCCCCACCACTGACCTGCTTCCCTCTTGGCTGCCCGCAGCTCCACTAGGAAAGGCCGCTCCACGCGGCGCCACAAATGCTCCCTCCTGTTGGAGGAGCCCAGTCCCACTCCTGGCCTCTGGCAGGAGGGAGGTTCCATCTGGAAAGCTCAGTGTCCATTCTTCTTGCCTTAGGGTGGTAGAAAGAATGAAAGACTGGGGTGTTCCAGGATCCCCACTGCTGACTGCAGTCACCACTCCCACGAGATGCGGTTCCAGGAAGCGCCTGGACCCAGGCTAGAGCCAGGGAGTGTGACCAGGCTCCCTTAGTTCCTGCAGCCTCCTGTGCATCAGCCAGAGGCCCTGGGCGTTGACAGCCAGGCCCACAGGCCTCCCACTCCTTCCCTGGGCTGCCTGGTTTCTGATGGTGATGGCCTCAAGTGGCGGCGTTGAGCCACCTGCGCCCTCCCTCTCCTTTCCTCCCGCACTAGGTATTCCCTGTTTGCTGTTGTTAACCATCAAGGGACCTTGGAGAGTGGCCATTACACCAGCTTTATCCGACAGCACAAAGACCAGTGGTTCAAGTGTGACGATGCCATCATCACCAAGGCCAGCATCAAGGATGTGCTGGACAGTGAAGGGTGCGTCCTGTCGGGTGGGAGGAAGGCCCTGTGGTGGCCACGGTGCTCTTCCCTCTGGTATAACTGAGACCAGCCCACGTCTGAGCCTAGGACCACTCAAAGGTGTTGACCTTCATTTACCAAAGTAATGAGGCCTGTTCTGGATAGGATGCCAGCCTTGATGGTGGCAGAAGAGGTGCCTGAGCAAAGGCTCTCTCTGGAGGCATTTCCTTAGCACAGAGAACATCAAAGTAGTTGTTCTTTAACCGCGTGAACTGAACACATCAGTTCTTCTTTTTTTTTTGAGACGGAGTTTCGCTCTTGTGGCCCAGGCTGGACTGCAATGGTGCGATCTCAGCTCACTGCAACCTCTGCCTCCTGGGTTCAAGTCAGTCTCCTGCCTCAGCCTCCCAAGTAGCTGGGATTATAGGCACCTGCCACCACACCCGCCTAATTTTGTATTTTAGTAGAGATGGAGTTTCTCCATGTTGACCAAACTGATTTCAAACCCCTTACCTCAGGCAATCCTCCTGCCTCAGCCTCCCAAAGCATGGGGATTACAGGCGTGAGCCACCGGCCTTGGCCCACATCAGTTCTTTATCAACTCCTCTGTTCTCTCCAGTTTCGTTCCTTCATGGCATAGAAACCTGTTGACCCTCCAGGGGGCAGGGGGACCCCAGCTGCCATGAGCTCCCTGAGGGCTTTGCACTTCACATTCTGAGCAACATGGAAGCCCTCTTGAGAGGTTTTATTTGGAAGAATCTGGGATTAAGGACAGCCTTCAGGGCGATGAGGTGGATCTGGACTGGACCCACTTGAAAACTCCTCCCTGTCTCTGCCTCCACAGGTACTTGCTGTTCTATCACAAACAGTTCCTGGAATACGAGTAGCCTTATCTGTAGCTGGTCAGAAAAACAAAGGCAACGCAAGCCTCATAAAGTGATCCTCCCTGCCTCTCCCGCCTCCCGCCGCCTCCCCGGCCTGGTGACACCACCTCCCATGCAGATGTGGCCCGTCTGCACCTGGGACCCATGGGGTCGGGATGGACCACACGGACGGGGAGGCTCCCGGAGCTGCATTGAAGATGGATGAGATGAGGGGTGTGCTCTGGGTGGGAGGAGCAGCGTACACCCGTCACCAGAACATCTCCTGTATCCTCATGATATGGGGCTGCAACTGGGGCCTCACAGCACGGAGTGGCCGCCGCCTGGCATTCCCCAGCACTCGGTGTGGAAAGGCCCCTGCCTGCCGTAAGATTATGGGTCCATTAAAGCAGTAAGCTGAAGACACAGCGGCGTAGTATGTGGGACAGAGGGCCTTGCAGATGCCTTTCTGTTCATGTTTTAGTGTTAAAATACGGAAAGTATGGAGTTCTTCACCTCCATTTTCTCAGCGGCTGTGAAGCAGCCTCCAGAGCTTCGGAAGTAAGGACACTACGTCGCGTTTTCAAGTGTGTTCCGCAGGTGACTTAGCATCAAGCTGCACGTGGAAGCATCTCGCAGTTTTCTAGAGACAGGCATTTTCTTATCCCTCTCCCTCTCCTTTTTCCACAAAGGTGAATTTCATAAATGTAATACTAGTAACGTGAATGAATTACTGAGTTTATACTGAAATTTAGATAACTTCTCCTTTAGTCTTGAGAGCGAGTCTTGCTTTTTAATCGGTGCCGTTTATGTTGCTGCCCGCCCTGTGTGCCTGGCTCCTCTGGGTGCCTTGGTGTCTGCTGGGGGCTGGCAGTGGGCGCAGTGGAGGAGAGTCGTGCTGCAGCTCATCCTGTGTCTCTGTCATCTCAGGCTGGAGTAAATGCAGCCTCTGCCGGTGTCTGATAGGTTCCCTCCCGCATATTTTCTTTGTCTGTCCCATTGCCTGGCGACCACTGCCTGGCAGCCAAGTGTGTTGGTCGCAAATCTGGAGTGGCCTCTGGTGGAGCCTGCATCTTGTCTCGTCTGCCTCTGCTTCACGTTTAGTGTACTTTCGGGCATGGTGGCGGTAAAATGACATCGTGATGGAGCTTGTCAGCAGAACTGAAAGAGAAAGTAGAAGGATATGCATTGTTCCTTGTAAGATATTTTGCATGTATTTGTGTATTCAAACAGATGGTTTGTCCATTTGTCCACTGAGAAATTATAAACTAGGGGCAAGAGGGAGGAAAAGTACTTAAACATAGTTTATGAAGCAACTGTGTCTCAGGCTGGCTTGTCCCAGGAGCCCCAGCTGCATCTGAACTGAGGCTGCTTCAGTCCTGCAGGAACAGGATCATCTGTCTCAGGGGTGGGCGGATGTTTTTATAGATAGCCAGGGAGTCAACACTGTCGGCTCTGTGGGCTATGTGGTCTCTGCCATAAATAGTGCAGAAGTGTGGCTATGTCCAGTACAACTTTTAGACACAGAAATCTGAATTGCATATAATGTTCCGTGTCAAGAAAGTTAGATTTTTTTTTTTTTTTTAACTATATAAAAACATGAAACATATTCTTAACTCACAGGCCATGGAGAAGCTGGTGGGGATCAGACCCAGCTCCTTAGCTGGCTGGGCTGGGGAGGGGGCGGTGACAGTGGCAGCTGAGTAGCTACTCATTGCTCAATGTAGAAAACACGAGAACACAGGACTTGGCAACCACAGCCCGCAGAACCGTCATGGGCGGCAGAAGCCTTAGGGATGCGGTTTCTTGCCCACATGCTCAGTTCATTTTCTGTTGTCTTTCTGCATTTAATTCACGTGGAAGCATGCTTTATAAAATGAATTATCAGAGAAACAGATGGGCTGAGATTTTCAGAAATGGCCCCTTATGACCAAGTTTTGCTGTTTCGATGACAGTGCTTTGAAGATCTCTTTTGAGGATGAGAAGTCTTTTTTTTTTTTTTTTTTTTTCAGATGGAGTTTTGCTCTTCTTGCCCAGGCTGGAGTGCAGTGGCGCAGTCTCGGCTCACTGCAACCTCCACCTCCTGGGTTCAAGCAATTCTCATGCCTCAGCCTCCCAAGTAGCTGGGACTACAGGCGTACACCGCCACGCCGGGCTAATTTTTGTATTTTTAGTAGAGATAGGGTTTCACCATGTTGGCCAGGCTGGTCTCGAACTCCTGACCCCAGGCAATCCACCCACCTCAGCCTCCCAAAGTGCTGGGATTACAAGCATGAGCCACTGCGCCTGGCCTGTGAGCAGTCTTTTAATCAGGAACAAATCTAATAGGAGAGTTCACTGAAGTTGGCCCACAGGATTCTGAGCTGGGCAGTGCCTCCCTGAAGGCTTGCCACCTTGGGACGCCCTGGTTTACCGGGGTGTCTTGCGGAAATGCAGAAGGCAGTGTGTGGGCCTTGGGCCTTTCTGGCAGCTGTCCGGGTTTGGCCAGGCCCTGCCTCCCCTCCCCACTGCCGACCCCTGGTCCCCTTCCTCTTTCCACTTGCATTCGGGGGTGTCTGCTGTTCTGAGAACATTAGAACTGGGAAGAGAGGTGGAGTCACATGCATTCTTGGTGGGCATTATTCTAAACTTTTGTATCCAAGTTCATCCCCCTTCTTCCACTGTGGCATTGCCGTTCTAAGCAGTTACCCCATGCGTGCTGCTGAAGAGCTGCTCACTGGAGGCAGGCAGCGGCCCCGGCACTGCCCCTTGCATTAGGTCTTGTGTTTGATGTGCTCTTGTGAATTTACTTTGTCAGAACAAAATATTTACATGTTGGGTTCAGGAATCTCTCCTTTTAGCTCCCCATCTGGCTATGAAATTCAGGAAACCTGTTCTCCCGTTGCCTAGTAATCGCCCCATGTAGGTGTAAATTGTGACAAAGTGCATCTGACCACTAAGGGGCCCCCTCGGTGACCCCAACACATTCACAGCAGTGTTAAAAATGGCCTGTGTTTCGGAGATGCTGGCTGGCCTTTCAGTGCTTCCCAGGAAGCCACATGGCCTTTCCCTCTTCAGATGCCTGAAGGGAGTGCTTTGAGACAGGGGATGTGCTGGGAATGTGGGCGGCCTCCCTGCGGCCCCGGGGCCCTCTGTGAGCACTGCAACCTCCCTGGGCGTTCCCTCCGGCGCCAGCGCCACTGCAACATATAGACCCGAGTGCTATTGTATTTTGGCTTGGTGTGTATGCTTTTCATCGTGTAAAATTGCTGTTCTTTTGACAATTTAAGTGATTGTTTTGTTTACTGTAAGTTTGAAAATAAAAATTAAGAAAAAAAATTCCAATTGACTGTGCTGTGGTTGGAGACTTTATTCACCAAGCTGTTTACTCTTTCCTTTCCCCTCCCATTTTGAGGAGCTCTGTGACTCCTCCTCTTCCCCTAATGCTTTGTAGTCTCTTTTCTGTCATAATAAAGCTACATTTTCTCTGAAAACTGGCCGGTTTTCCTTTTATCGACACAAGCAGCCGAGGAGAGGGTGGCAGGAGGGAGAAGAGCAGCCAGGGCAGACCGGCCTGCATGGGGGCGTCCCTGGGCTGAGTCAGTGGCCAGAGCTACAGCCTGGCTTTGTGCCTAAAGACTTGTCTGGGTGTCAGGAAGGCCATGCACTCAGCGTTTCGTCCCTTTCTGTGAGTGGCCTGCTGCTGCTTGAGCCTCGTCCCCCCTTTTTTGGGCAGGAGGGTGACATCCTGGATTCAGGACTGCCATGGACCTTCAGACCTGAAGCCCTTGACATGCTGAATCCTTGCCAGGCTTGGATTACAAGACCCAGGCTGTGGTTATGTGCATTTTGTAGCAAGCTCCCTGCATGGAGAGTAGCAAATGGATAGAAATACTGTCATCCGTGGAGAGAAGATGTGAACAGCTATTCAAGTGCATGGTTCTGTGACAGGTCACGAGGCCATGGTGGACCTCGATGACATCCTCTCCCAGCCGCCCCCACATACTTCCCCTGCCCTCAGCGGGTCAGGAGTCTCCTGCTCAGCCTCATCTTCAACTCTGAAGCCTCTGAGTTCTGAATAGTTCTGCCCCCTCCTTTTTCGGATGCTTCTGTGGCCAACCTTTATGGCAAGTTATTTGACTTCCTTTACATGGAAACACCAAGAACACCAGAGAACACTCCGGGTTTCAGACTTAGTTCTGTCTCCTCATATTAAATAGAACCATTGTTATGTCGCCTGGGGGAAGCTTCACTCTGCCTGGGTCCTCAGACCTTCCAACCAGCAAAGCTCCATTTCTCCGGAACAGGCATAGGAAAACTTTGAGACATTTGGGTACAATACTCAACATCGTCCACTTTCACACCTTCACTCTCACAACTACACCTTCTGGTTGTGGGAGAGTCAGCACCATATACTGGTTTCCAGTAGAAAGCATAAAATTCATCTCGTAAGACAACCTCACCACTTCAGCATAACCCGCGATCGTAAGCCCAGTTGCTTCCAGGTGGCGGCTGACATAGTGAGAAGTTAGTTCCCTGGTCAGGGGCCATGGCTGCATATCCCTCACTGTGAATGGGGTACCCTGGTCGCAAGCAATGCCCTGTGGGCTGCTGTGATGGCAACAGGCAGGGCCGGCGAGTCTGTGTCCAAGTAGGGGCTCCCTGCAGTGAAGGCCGATCTCAGCCCTCTCCACAGTGTGGGCAGCCTGTCCATAGGTGGCCAACCGGTCCTCCTGGGAAACAGTGATCGACACCAAGTCTCTCAGCAGATGGGGCACTCGGCAGTGGTATTGGCCTGGTCAGGGCACGAGCAGGATGCTGAGCCTCTTGTGTCTCATTCCTGTCTGATGGCCACTTTGTCCATGGGTCCATCCAGCAGTCGTGGTGGCTGGGGAAAGGAGCTGACTCCATCCACCTGGCGTGCCGTGTTCCCCACCTCAGGATCAAGAGCGTCCTCTGCAGCGATTCTCTTTGGTGGGAACATGGGAACGTGGATGAAACTATCTTCACAGTGTGAGCTGCTGAGGCGATGACTGCAGGGCGCCTCTGCCCTCTGGGAAGCCAGGCTGGAAGGCGCTTGGCAGTGGTGCCTGCTGTGGCTGCGACAGGGGCTAGGCTGCAGGACAAGGCTTCCAGGAGGGAGATGGTGTGGCAGGCAGGGCTGCGAAATCTCTGGGTGCCATGTTGGCATAGCGGACTAGGGTACTCGGGGTGCTGGTGGGCCAGTCTCCGGGGTGCAGACTGCCTGCCCTGCAGCAATGAGGCCGGGAAGGGGCTGCAGTGTTCACAGTTGGTGACTCCCTTGAGCCAGCCCGCCACATCCTCATCACTGCACGGGCTCAGCGTCTCTGGCCTGGCTTGCCCAGGTTCTCTGATGTGAATCCTTACAGCATCAGGGCTCACAGTGCCCTGGTCCCCTGCGTGGTCACCTGGGGGCCCGCGGTGCCCCTGTCCTAGGACTGGAGTTGAAGCCAGGCCCCTTGGCCTGGGACTCAGGACCTGGGGGATGGGCTCTGACCCACAGGTGGAGTCAGAGGCCCCAAGGGCCTCTCCGGGGCTGAGCCCCACAGGCCTGGACCTCTGGAGTCCTAGGGTCCCCGTGTGGCCCCCTGGCCTGAGGCTGGCTGGCTGGGGCTGCAGGACCCCCATGCTCAGCCTTCCCTCCAGAGGCCTTGATGGGACCAAGTTCCCCACTAAATGGGATTTCCCAAGGCCCAAAGGCCAAACGATAAAATAGCAGTAAAAACCAAGGTCCAGCAGCCATCTGGGGCTGTAAGGCAGCTGGGCGGGCACCGTCTGGGCTCCTTCCATTCCAAGTTCTTCCTCTACTGAGGGGGTTGCAGGCAGGCGCCACCTTGCTGCTGGGGGGTCTCTTGACCTGCGTCCTCTCTGTGATAAGCCCAGGCAGGGCCTGGTGTCAGGGTCCCAGTGGGTTTGCTGGACCAGGCCTGGCCTGTGGTTCCAGAGCTGCCCAGGTAAGATGTTGGAAGTGACAGGGGCACAGTAACCCTATTCAAAATTGTAGCTGGGGAACCATGGGCTCCCAACGTCCAGGTCTGTCGGGCGCTGCGGCATAGAGTTCCAGCACAGGCATTTTCATATACAAGGCCTGACCTCACTGGGTGACAGGCTGGCCTCATCCTGAGCCTCTGGGCCCCTCACAGAGCGGCCTGCTGCCCTGGGTTCTGGTGAAGCCGCCTTGTGCTGCTGGGCCTCGGCCTCAGCCCAGTCAGGCCAAGCTGGGGCAGGACAAGGCTTTTGTCCCGGAGGGACTGATGGCATGAGTCCCTGGAGCTGAGCTGGTGGGGTGGGGAGAGCCAGTCTGTCCCCCTCACATAGGGGCCCGATGCCAGGGGACGCCCTTGAGGACGCTCACTTGAGTTCTGCTGGAAAAAACGGACATGGTCGGCATCTTCACCGAGCCCATTGGGCCGCTCCAGGGCTGGGCCCCACAGGCCTGGGCCTCTGGAGTCCTCCAGGTCCCTGTGTGACCCCCTGGCCGGACACTGAGGACGCCCCTGCAGGCTGCTGATCCCAGGGTGAGGGCTGTGTGCAGCCTGGGGTGGAGGAGCTTTCAGGGAACCTCAAGTCGCTCCTGAAATGGTCCCCAGGGTACCGGCTGGCTCGGGGCTTCCTTCCTCACGCCCTCATCTCAGGGCTATTCAGCAGCCCCGAGTCAGAACTCAGGTGAAAGGGACCTTCACTATTACCCACCCCCTTGCCACCTCGCATGGGGTCTGTCTCCACAGTGAATGAGAAGTGAATGGGCATGGGTTTCCCTCTCTCCTCCAGGCCGTCCACCCCATGCCAGGGCTGGACCAATCCCATGCCCGGCTGAACTCTTGGTTCTGGCTCTGGGTCAGGGCTTCCCCCCGTGCCCTCTGCCCAAATCCTCTCTGGGTCAGGGACACTGATTCTCTTGTCCACCTGGTTGTCTTGACACCCTTGGAGGGGCACTCAAGAATGAGGGGTTCCTGCTGCTTGGAGGTGGGGGCAGGGGCTCCCACACCTGGATCTGACTGTCCCAGTGCCCTTCAGGGCCCTTTGAGAGGGGGATGGGGACAATGTGGAAAGGCGGGGAAGGAAGTCGGGGGTCCTGCCCACAGCCCCTGCCAATCTGCACCTCATGGCCAGGACACATGACCTCAGTGCCCGCCCTGAGCGCTGGCAGACCCATTTTACTTCCTTAGAGTAGAGGAAGAAGGCCGGCGCGGTGGCTCACGCCTGTAATCCCAGCACTTTGGGAGGCCGAGGCGGGCGGATCACAAAGTCAAGAGATCGAGACCAGCCTGGCCAACATGGTGAAACCCCGTCTCTACTAAAAACACAAAAATTAGCTGGGTGTGGTGGCGTGTGCCTGAAGTCTCAGCTACTCGGGAGGCTGAGGCAGGAGAATTGCTTGAACCTGGGAGGCGGAGGTTCCAGTGAGCCGAGATCGACTCACTGCACTCCAGCCTGGCGACAGAGCAAGACTCTGTCTCAGAAAAACAAACAAATAAAAAGAGTAGAGGAGGAAGAGATGCAGGAGGAAGACCAGGTAGGAGGGCTGGTAGAGCCAGGGCACTCCCCACCACTGACTGTCCCAGAGGGTGACTCGGGAGGGGACCTGGTGCTGGGGCTCACCTGGGGGTGGCAGGTCCCAGTGTTTCCTTGAGTTCCTTCATGGAGGTTTGAAGGCTCCTGAGGACCACGTTGTCCTCCAGTGCCCAGCTCTGAGACAGTCGCTCCTGAAACTCCCAGACAGTGCTCCAGCAAAGCTTCATGAGGCGCTCTAGGGACAGGGTGGGCATCAGGCTGGGAGGGTCCCCTGCAGGGGATCGGTGTCTGCTCCCTGTTTCCACCAGGCCCACCTCCCACTGGGTGATGCCAGGTCCTTTTTGGCCACCCCAGGGTCCGGCTGTGCACAGGAGGCCACCGCTGGGGGAGGCTGGGCAGGGAAGTGCTCACCACACTCCTGACTTTCATCTGGGTCATGTACAGGGTGGGCTCAGTGCCATCATGCCTTGCCCAGCCCACCAGGCCAGACCCCTCCTTGAGACAGAGCAGAGAGTCACAGGAACAGTGTAAGGACATGTCCCTCAGGCCAGCCAGGGTCTGTGCCTCGTGCTCCCCAAGGCACCCTCGGGCACACGGGACTTACCCCTGTGTATTTTGAATGATGCATGCGCCATGGCCGTCAGTACCCGCTCGCCCTCCAAGACGAGCACATCCCACAGTCACAGGGTGAGCCCGAAGGATTTCGTGAGGACAGCAAGTGTGGGAGGACCTGTCTTTCTGGGCTGGGATCCGAGGCCTGAGCAGAGCCCCCTGGGGTTTCAATCCCCTGGAGTGCTGGGGACCCCTCTCCATGGGATGAGACCCCCCTATAAAGCTGGGTCAGACCGGGTCCTGCAGCTCCTCATGGGGGACACACCTCAGCAGTGATGTGGCTTCTGGAAGGAGGGGCTTCCTGAGGACTTTGGGCTTCCTTGGGTCCTCGCAAGTCGGGTCCTGG